TGGCCGACCTGGACATGACAGGTTGCGTAAGCCATGAAGCAATCATACCATTTTCATGACATTGTGGCAGTGATTTTGACGGATAGGTACTTGAACGAAACTTGTGGCCAGGAGAGATGAAATGGTCTCCGCAAGAGTCAAAGAGTAACCCTCGGTTATTTTGCCATTCAGTTTTGACTTCTAGACGATTAAAAAGTTTTGATGTTTCTTGATAGGAATATTAAATTTACAAACAATTTATTTAAGCATGCTCTTACTACACCCATTCAGAGCAGAACCACCTAAGCCTTTTCTAGCCAAAAAAGAGTTTTCGAAAGTTGACGAATAGACTTTGGCACCCTTTGCTGTTTCAATTCCTCAGAATCGACTGAGTCTTCATCTAAATTTGGCCGCTGACCCTCCAGCAAATCAATTTTCATAAGATTGACCGGTCTCAGGGTGCCCGATTTCACTAAGGCAATAACCAAAAAAGTATGACACCAGCTGGCAGTAGCACATAGGCGTCAACAAAATCCGCGGCAGAAAACGGTGAGAACGTCGTCCAACCTTGAATCAACCCAAGGAAAATGTTCGCAGCCAGGCTAATGATTGGCGTCCAAGGATACAGCAAAGACTTGTACGGCAACTCGGCGGGCGAACGACCCTGCATGGCCCACGCCTTGCGAAAACGAATGTGCGTGTAAGAGATAATACCCCAAACAATAAAGACACCAACACCCGATAAATTCACAATATAATCGTAGGCGTCCGCAGCACCAACGCTTACATTCATGAGAGAAATGAGACCCAGCAGGTTGAAGGCAAGCAAAGCGTTAACAGGTATGCCTCTCTTATTAGTCCAGGCTAAGAATTTGGGTGCTAAACCTTCATGAGCTAAATGGCTAATGGTCCGGCTCCCAATGTACAGAGAGCTGTTGATTGCTGAAACACATGTCACTAGGATAAAAGCATTCACCAAGTGCACGCCGCCAGGCCAACCGGCTCTTACTATCGCGATTCCAACGGGGGATTTCAATGTCTTGGAGCTAGACCCAAGGTTGACATCGTCATATGGCACTGTTACACCGTAGAAAATCGATATGCCCATGTAAACTATCAGAATTCTCCAGAATGTTTGTCTCACAGCAAGAGGTACAGCTCTTCGAGGATTTCTACTCTCAGTAGCGGCCAAAGCGACGGATTCTGTTCCTGAGTAAAAAGTTGAGCAGAATACGAAAACCACTGCAACACCTCTGAACCCATTAGACAACGCACCGGGGCTGTTCCAATAGTGGAAACCAAAGGCTGGTTTGCCGGGAATGCCTCCAGAAACGTAAATGACAGAGAAAATGTAGTATGCAACAAGGCCCAAAATCTTGAACCAGGCCAACCAATATTCACACTCACCAAATGCGCCAACTCCCACCATCTGAAAAGCCAAAAAGAATGCCCAAAATATCAAGATATAGCCATACGTGGGAACCTGAGGACCCCAAAACTGCAAAATGGACGACAAAGTGTTGTATTCGTTGGCCAAAACCGCGAAAAACACCACTATGTACGCATAACCGCAGACCGCGGAGAGCCCGTCGCTGTGAAATTTCCGGGCGAGGCTCGTGAAGCCCCCTCCGGACGGGTATAGCGTTGTGAGTTCACCAATTGATTCCATAACAGCAAAACACACAAGGCCTACGATTCCGAAACCCAACAATAGCGCCAAAGGTCCTCCTTTAGCTAATGCATTTCCCGCCCCTATCAAACATCCTGGACCAATGACGCCGCCCAGCGCCAGCAGAGAAATGTGTCTGTCCTTCAGGGCCCTTTTCAGACCCGTACGCGGATCCTCGTTTGCATGCTCATCCGACTGTATGGATGTACCGTTTAGCTCTAATTCGCTGAAATTCGTGTCGTTTTTAACACTAGCTTCTCCTGTCATGCCGAGAGAACGAGATACAAAAGCGTCAATATGCCCGAAGCAACATTTCCTACTGCAGAGCTTGGACCCTCTTTGCTTGACCTCTTTTAGATGTTTTTCTGTTTCTCAATAGCGGAGCTCATCGCATGAATTTCGAAAAAAAACGATGCGCAATGTAGTGTTTGGCTCTTTCTGTCTTCGATGCCCCACAACTCCACATTCTATATTGCGAATGAAGATGGCGGTGGCATCGAACAAATTCGATGTATGCGGATAACTGTGGATACTGCGAAAAATTGGCTGGAAAATCGTTTTCTCCCCTCAGTTTTTCCACGTGTAGGCCTTTGTTTCTGCAAGATAGTCATTTGAGGGCTATCGCACCTTAATCTTCTCAGAAAAACCCATGCTGAGCTGGAGACGCGCTTGACTTAATTTTCGGTCTGAAAGCGAGGTGCATGGTAGGTGGTTTTGGCTTTAAAATCCGACAGCTCAAGCGAATTTCGGCAATAATAGGCTGGGGTCCTCGAATTAATATCACCCTGAGTATTAATTAATGTACGGCTCATCCTGATAATTCAGACATCACGTGAGTCGTCTTAATCATGTGGCTTCATAGTTATGAAAGACACAGGATGTGAGTCCAGCAGTAATAATGGACAACTGGATTCCTTGAAGTCCATTATATAAAAAGTCGCCAAAAGCGTTGAGCAGTCATCACCCCGCTCAAATGAAACTTCATTCTTGAATAAGTAGATCATCATGTCGGTCTCCCTTAATCCCGGCATAAATGCCAACTGTTATTCGTCCATCAGTTCACAGGAAATCGCGGATGAGGAGGGACTGCAGCATGCCAGCAAAAGCTGGGCCCGAAGAAATCACATCTTTCTCATAGAAACAGCGCTTTTCACCAACGTTTTCCTGTCGGGATTCGATAGCACGATCACAGCGTCGATATACCAACTCATTGGTAATGAGTTTGAAGACGTGAAAATTGCCAGCTGGATTACCACCGCCTATTTAGTAACATGCACTTCGTTTCAGCCCCTGTACGGCTCCTTTTCCGACATCCTTGGAAGGCGTAACTGTATGTTTTTCGCCAACGGCATTTTCGCCCTCGGCTGTCTCGGTTGCGGTTTGTCAACCAACTTGGTCACCCTCATCTTCATGCGTGCCATTACAGGCGTAGGTGGTGGTGGATTAATCACCCTTTCAACTATTGTAAATTCGGACATCATCAGCCCCGACAAGCGGGGTATCTACCAGTCATTTCAAAATATCCTCGTGGGCACTGGCGCTGTCGTGGGAGCCTCCAGCGGGGGAGCAATTGCTGCAAAATTTGGTTGGAAATGGTGTTTCCTGATCCAGGTGCCAATCTCCGTTGCAGGAACCGTGATGACATATTTGTTTGTGGAGAATCAGCAAACGCCACAAGATCAATGCGCAAGCACCAATAAATGGAGACAAATAGATTTCAGCGGCGCGATACTCCTGACTCTGGGTCTCACTAGTCAATTGATATTTTTGACGGTAGCAGGCTCCACAGCAGGTGAAGGCTTCCCTTTCATTGATTTAAAATCGTTGGGATTCTTGCTTGTAAGCATTGCGTCCTTGGTAGTTTTTGCTCGAGTCGAGAAAAATACGTCAGCCAATGCAATCATTCCTCACCATCTCTTGGATGGAAATTCTCGAAGCATTTTGATCATCGGCTTTTTCGTTGGGTTCGTTGCATACGCTTATTTGTTTACTCTCCCGCTTTATTTCCAGGTGGTTGGAGGCGATTCTGCTGCTCAAGCTGGACTAAGACTTGCAATCCCGTCTTTCTGTACCCCGATTGGTGGGTTGATCATGGGGATCGCAATGAAAGATACAAGCCGTCTGCCCGCCTTGCTGACTTCGGGAATTTCACTCATGCTCTTGGGTAATTTGTGCTTCCTTTTCATCAATAAATCAACCCCCGGCTGGTTGAATTTCGTGTTGTTGATTCCTGCAAATATTGGCCAAGGTATAACATTCCCATCCACTTTATTCTCATTTCTCTTTGCGTTCTCTATAAGAAAGCAAGCCACTGCCACCGCTGCGTTATACCTTTTCAGAAGTATTGGTTGTGTATGGGGGGTGGCAGGCACCTCCAGTCTCGTTCAGGTCCTGGTGAGCCGAAGCTTGAAAAAGCACCTGAAAGGAATAATATCCGATGACGATATAAGTCATCTACTCTCAAAATTGAAACAAAACACGTCTCTCATAAAAAGTTTAAGTCCAAAGGTGCAAGATGTTGTAATAAAGAGCTATGCGTTTAGCATCCGAAGCGTGTTTGCCTTGACAGTCGTGCTCAGTTTAATAGCCCTCATTCTCTCCATTCTGACAAAAGTAAAATCCAGTGAGCAGGAGGTGCGAAGCCTTGCAGCATTAGAGCGCCGCATTAGTTTTTGAAGAGTTTCGCTGAGGCATGTCTCAGGATGGGAAACTTTATAGATAGAGACATCTACGAGTACAGCCAGAAAGATAGTCCGCCTTCAAAATATATACACTAGAGTACGTGAAACCTATCAAAGAACCAGAGACTAAATCGAAAACCGTAAAAGGCACCAGAGGGGTCATCAGAAACTAGTCGCCCAGTCTTCTCCCCCAAGCTTTTTGGGGGTACTCGATTTTTAGTAGTGGCCATGGCTACGAGTTACACACGAGTGTTTCAATTTCAAACGACGAGTAGGTTTGTGGGTGGCATGTCTAAAACAGAACTTAAAAGCGCGTGAAAACTGAGCGTTTTGATAGTTTCAAATGAATACGTGAATAACAACATAACAAGATAACAGTAGGCTTATTTACCAAACCACGGAGAGGTAGCTACACTCTGCTAGGATGCTAATGATGATGCTGCCAAGGTGCATAATGACAGAATAGTAGAAAGTGACAAAGATATTTATGCAAGTCAGCATATTGAATAAGAATGTCGATGTCTAGACGTTGGTGTTGAGTAGTGCCTCTATTCACATATTTTTAGTTCAACGAGATTGTCGATATGCGATCTTACACTATAAGGCAGCGAAACAGAATTGTCCGCGACAGCTTTATCCTCGCAAAAAGATGTTATCTTGCGTATACTTTGTTGGCACTCTGTGAGAGAGAACAGTAGCTTTCGGCACGCTATCAATAGTTCATCATGCGTTACGCGTTGAGAGGTGGTCTCCTCAGGCAACATAGTATCATTGAGTCCGAGGAATGGAGGCTAATAAGTTTGATCTAGTCTAGGGAATTTTTCGTTACCAAAACTCGTCAACCAAATAATTGAACGAATAACGATGGTTCATTCTCTATGTATAGATTATACTCTTCACATTTTGAAGGACCACGGATGAGTAGAGTCCCAATTCTAAATAGGAATAATCAGGAAGACCATGAATGACTTAAAATGTTCAGCAAGTTAACTACAACTTACTCATATGTGCCTCAGTAATAAGGACATCAGCTATCGGGCTATCGGCCGGAAACGGGTTTTGAGAACCCTTCTCCGAAAGCAAATTAGCGTGCCATTATTCAAAGGAAAAGCTAGCGAAAGCTTTTCCCTTGAGTTGTAGACAACTTGGCTTTAATATTCCTCATAACCGGACATGCAGTTGCCTCAACCTTTCCTTCATTTCAGTTCTTTCTTTGGTATAGAAGTCGAAGCCTTTCAAGGTATCCAGGATAGTCTGTGCCGTTACTATATTAGTACCATCAGTCAGCTGGGAAAAGCCCGATTTGGCCTTCACGTGCTCATTTTTCGTCAAGCTCATTTCAAGTACTTTTCTTGGCACGTACTTCATGCCTTCATATTTATGAATGGTCTAACCTCGACTCATGAACCAGCTCTACCATTCTCTGAATAAAGACCAAACGTCTCAGCTACCTTATAGTTTGTTCAGAAGCAAGCTTTCATGGCGACTTCACGAGTTTGTTAAAGCGCCATTTTTTTACGCATGGATTTTGACCTTTACTGTGCTATCGTTAATACCTTTTGCCATTAGAAGAGCCTTTAGATCATGCCCTTTGTATGTTTCCGGAATGCTGACTTTTCTGAACATTGAGTTTCTAGGGTTGCTGCCGTTCATGTATGTCCTCAAGAGGGACCGTTGTCTCCCTAAGTTACGATCATACTTGGTCCAAGAAGTTATCCAGTTAAAACCAGAAGCTCACTTCAGAGACTGGGACATAGTCGCTCTTCACGCGAACGGTTATCTGCGTAGGGAACAATTATGGCATACCGAATTATGTATCTATAATGGAAAGGAATGTAGTGAACTTTTTAGGTCCTTTGTTTACTGTCCATCTCTGAAAGCAAATCATGACGATGAGGACGAACGGTTGGCGGTTCAGATATACGAGAAAAGTTTTGAAAGTTACTGGAAGTCGAAGGAGAACTATGTGTCTACAACTAATGATAGACGTAAACTACCCAAGGAGGTGTATCGTTATCGGCTGGCGTGGAATGCAAAAGCTGTCATGAAGAAAGCATCCCGATGGATGATACTGGTTCCATATTATGCGGTAATAATAAATTGGGGAAATGGCCTTCTGGTGTTTTATTTTGGACTTCTTCTTGGATCTTGTCAATTGTTAATTTATTCCTATTCTTCTCTTTGCGCTGAGAGAAGGACCCTATTCAACACACCGCTACTCATTTTGACGTTTTTAAAATTGAAAACGCTTCAAGAACCAGGAGAAGACCTTGAAAAATGGAACAACATTTCAAGATTCATGAACACTTACTTGCTAAAGGAGAGTGTCTGGCGAGACGGTGAGTTTTTCTTTGATGGCGAAGACTGCCGTGCAAAATTTGAGTCCATACTGACAACAGTCATTAGTGAGCAAGTCCCACACATTAGAGGTTCTTATCCAGAGCTTACTTCATACGCCATGAGAAGTATGGCAGGTTTTTAGTTTGGGAACGCTAACCCGATTTGATTGTTAAGCGTTCCATGTTTGAATAAACTTACAGCTGAGAGCGGCTAACATACGAGCCCTACATATAATGAAATAATACAATATTTATAAATCACCAAGAACTCGCTAACGTTCTTTGTGGATCCATGGTTCAAGCTTCGAGTTTTCCCTCCACATAGAATTTTCGATACGAAGTATCACCACAAGTTTCGATACGAAGTATCACCATAAGTTTCGAGAGTATTTAAAAGATATGGCATGGAATTGCTTAACGAATGGTTAAGTATGTGTTTGAATTCATAAGAGCCACGATTAGTTGGCTTACGTGAAATTGTCGAAATACGGATGACGATAATCACTAGTTGCGTAATGACAGGATAGTGGGAAGTGACATGAGTAAACTCAGAGCGCTAGATGATATCTGATGGTTCTATATCTAGAGTCAGTGGCCAACAAGGCTTAAGCCAGTAGTCACCGCTATAGCAATGATTAAAAGTAACGCGGCCGCTGTAAAACTTCGTCTCACTCATTTCACATTCTTTTGCGCCCTAGCATTATAAAAGTGCCGGTGATTCGTTTTGGGAACAGACCTTTAGCCTGTAAACAATTACCGAGATATATTCAGCTAGCGCTTAATTAATAGAAAGAACTACTAACCTATGTCCATTGTATTCGAGCAACTTCAACGACTTACTATGGTTTACAGAATTAATTCTCAGCAGTTCGATTGTGTTGAGATTTCAAATCTTATGTAGTTGGCTGGAGTCTCGTCGTTGATAGGACCTTGACCGTCGCCTTAAGCAAGTTTACATCTCGCAAACGGCACTTGAACACTGGGCGCCGTCTCTGTTGTCGTAACAATATCCACCAACGCCTCCGTAGATGTTCAAGTATAATTCATCATGAGCGGCGTTGTCCTGACCTATCTGATCCCAACTCTCTGGCTGTCCTACATTACAATTATCAGTCACGATCCATCAGTATCCATGCGGGCACCTAGCCAAAATAGTTTTAGAAGCCCTGATCGTACCCTTCTTCTTCTAAACTCTGTCTTGAAAGATTTTGTTGACTTGATCGCAGTTTGCATTGTCCCAAGACCACGATACTCAATCAACATCAAAGTTATTGTAACGCTTACCTAGCTTTCCATTTTCAGAGCCTCTCAAAGTAGATTCGAGAGATCCTGGATTCTTACCAGTCACAATAGCTTCCAGAAGAACATCCACATCATTGCGAAGATGCATTGCGACTATGCACACCCGACAAAAAGTATACAGCGTGAGAAAGGTCGTCTGTCATGTTGCGGCTTCTCTTTTGTATCATTGTAATTAATGAAAGTGAAAGCACCTAATAGAGTTAAGCCACTAGTGTTGAAGCTGCCCTCATAAATGGTGTATCAATTTAAGTATACGAAACTTGTCCAGAAACCATAATTGTTGACATACTAGAGACCAAGTCGTAAACCGTAAAAGGCACCAGAGGAATCATTAGAAACTAGTCGCGCAGTCTTCTCTCCCAAGCTTTTTGGGGGTATTCGACACTTTCAAGACTGGGCACGGGTATGAGTTGCACGTGAATGTTCAGTCTCGAACGACGAGTAGGTATGTACGTAGTGTTCCTAAACTGCGCTCAAGGGCGTAAAAGCAGACTTGATGCTGGTGTGTAATTGAAGTAAATACGTGGATACCATAGGGACTTCTTTGTCGCATGACGGAGAGATATCTACGAATAATTATAGAACGTTAGTGATGATAATGTGTCAAGTTTCAGAATGACAGAGTATTACGAAGTGATTCCACCGAAACATGGTCGCTGGATAAAATACTCATGCGGCAAGAGTAGATAGGCTGACATTTTTGATAGGAAGTCGTTACATTTCAGCTATTTTTCCCGTACTGAGTAATATCCGAGTGTTATGGGATCACTTTCAGGTATATCCAGCTATCTAAAAGTGCTACCTAATTTTCTACCCAGAAGAAAATTATATTCTTGTTCTCGAGCCCTGCGACTAAATGTATGTCACCCACGACAATTTTGTCATCTTGCAAACGTCCGCAAAAGCGGGCCACCAAGATCTCCTAGATTTTTTATTTCTTGTCATCAAACGTATCATCAAACAAGTATTGCTATGGTGGGGCGTTAAGTTATGGCTCTTTCGTGTTGTTCGTAATTTGTTTCCAGCTATTACCGTATTATACACCCGCTAGCCATACTCTGTAGCTGTCTTGAGCCGCATTTGCGAAGATGTCTGGTTCTTGGATAGCAGGCGACTTCAGTACTGGCCCTTTGTCGCCTATCGTTGAAGCATTGTAGTATGTGGTGATCATAGGTGGTTCAGCGTCGAAAGGGAAAAGCTCATCGTCTTCGGTTGCTACGGTGCCGTATCCCGTAGATTCTGTTGGGAAATTCTCATCCAGTGTGCGATTTATGCTCGATTCAAATGAGCTGGGACTACTCAGCAAAGAGGGCGCGCCGCTGGTGAGCGAAAATGAAAAGACTTCATCTTGAATATCTTGGGGAATGAATGGCATAATTCTGTATTTTTTGTGTGTGTTGACGCGTGTCCGTGTGTATGTCTGCTCAACCTAACACTGTATACTGCTTCTACTTTACTCCTTCTTCATGTCGCTACATCGCTCTATTTTTGTATCTCATCAGTACAGAGAGTTGGAGAGGATGAGACACTCCACTGTTTTGATTTAGAAGTGTGTGTCGGCTAGGGGTTGTATATTGTCAATACTGTCATCCTTTCACTATTGACGATTCCGAGTCGTGAAGTCAAAATCAGTCAGCGTCCAGCGACAAACATCAGCCACACCCACTAGAGTTAGCAGCAGTCTTTTATACATGATTATCATACAAGTAGTCTGTCGATTACGGCGTTTCTTTTGTTCCGTGTATTTCATTTTGTAGCTGAGATGTTGATAAAACACCGTCAACAGGTGCGTGGGGGTAGCCTACCGATCTACATTCTACGCTTATTGTCTTTGTTAACACCTGGCTTTTTTTGGCCAAACCCATTGGTTGAGAGTGCATCTTCACCAACGCGTTCTTTGCC